CGCGTTGATAATGCCATGCGGAATCAAATTGGACACTTACCTGCCACACTTGCTGCAAAGCTTGCGCCGTATATCGACAGAGGCGATATCATCCTAGAAGGTGTTCTCACAGGCGAGAAGGAAACCTTTACCTGTCCTGTCCGTCTAATTTTTTACGGCACTGGCGACCCTACAAGTCGCCTTTTGTTAGAGGAGAAGCTGAAAGAAGATAGACTTTTGAAAGCTACACAGCTCAAAACTACTAGGAAAGAGGCAGAAGCCCAAAGAAATGCCGCCATGCGTCTAAGATGCAACGCATCCACTGTGGGCTTGGGGGCTGAAGATGGAGAGCAGCAACAGTCGCTCCAAGAGTTAGCGGCGGACAGCGAAGCTGTGCAATTCAGAGGTGACCTCAGTTCCGTTGACATGTTTGCAACGGATGAAGACTCTCTTTCCAAACTACCTAAGGCGGCCCAGCCTACAAGCGTCGAGTCAACACTGCTGCCGTATCAACTCCAAGTAAGGCGCCTCAACTTCGTGTTTTATATTTAGCATACTAACAGTTACTACAGGGATTAGCTTGGATGGTAGCTAAAGAGAACCCACAGCTTCCCGCCACGGGATCAAAGGAAGTTGTGCAGTTGTGGAAGCGCCATAGTAGCGGGAAGTTCCTCAATCTGGTGTCCAACCACATTACAAACACGCCACCAAAATTAGTCTCGGGCGGTGTGCTTGCCGACGACATGGGCCTGGGAAAGACTCTCCAGGTCATTAGCTTGATTATGACGAGCGGTTTCGGTGAGGGTCCAACTCTAATTGTTGCACCGGTGAGTGTCATGAGCAACTGGGAGCAGCAGTTCGAACGACACGTAAAGGAGGATCAACGCCCCCGTATCTTTAGGTACCATAAAGCCGGTACATATTCCAAGAACGACCTACTGAACCATGACGTCGTTATCACAACCTATGACAAACTGCGCAACGACCAGACTAGTAAGGGAATATTGCTTTCAGTAGAGTGGCATCGGGTTGTCCTGGATGAGGCCCATGCCATCAGGAATTTTTCGACTTCCAGGGCTAAGGCTGCATTCCAGCTGAAGGCTAAATCTCGTTGGATGTTGACTGGCACACCAATGTAAGTCTATTTTAATACGACTTACCTTCAATTGTTTGGGCAGCGACGCTAACCTGTCCCCTATAGCGTCAATTCACCCAAGGACTTCTTATCGGCTCTGAAGTTCCTAAGAATGACCGGAGGCATTGAAGAGACTACATTCTTCGTAAACTTAATCGATAAACCTCTATCGAATGGCGGAGAAGGTGGGAAGAGCGACAAATTTAAGCTCGCCAAACAGCTATTCCAGTCATTAACTCGAGATCTCTGTCTTCGTCGGAGGAAGGATATGAAGTTTGTTGACTTGAAGCTGCCTCCTAAAACCGAATATATCCATCGCATCAAATTTAGAGATGATGAGAGGGTTAGGTACGATGCATTATTGTAAGTATCAGGATCTATTCTTAGGCCACCTGCATAATTACTAACAATAGGCTATTAGTTCGGAAACTACGGAAGTATTAGAAGCGTATCGGCGTAGAAGGGAAGGTCAAAATAACCGGCAAGGCCCCCAGATACGATTCACGAGTGTCCTAGAGAAACTCCTGCGCCTTAGGCAACTGTAAGTGGCAGTTATACTGTCTTGAACATATTACCCGAGCATATTACTATAATGGGATCACCCCAGTCTGTTCTAACTAACCATTGGGTCATAGGTGTTGCCATTGGACGTTGTGTGGAGGTCGGGTGAAGGATGTCTTGAGACCTCTCGAAAGCAAGAAATTTGTTGATTTCACTCCGGAAAACCTCCAGATTCTGCAGCAGGCTCTTTTAACTGCCAATAATGAGGGCGAAGAATGCCCGATCTGTACAGATGCAATCAGCATCCATGAGCCTGTCATCACAGCGTGCAAGCACCGTTTCGGGAAGCCTTGCATCGCGAGGGCCCTCGAAAGAGATACTAGGTGCCCAATGTGCCGCCAACCGTTGACCTTGGAGGCTACCGTCGGACTCGAACCGGTGAACGTTGAAACCCGATTTGACGGTGACACGCGGAGCTCAAAAACGGAAGCTCTAGAGAAGATCTTAAAAGCAAGGCTCGAGGATCCAGAATCCAAGGTTGTTGTATTCTCGCAATGGACTTCTTTTCTTGAAGTTATCTCAAAGTTACTAGATGAGGTCGGATACAAATACTGCCGCCTTGAAGGGTGGATGACAGCGGCTCGGCGCGACCAATCGATAGAAGCTTTGAATAACGACCCGAGCACGCGTATCCTGCTCGCCAGTCTAGCTGCAAGTGGCGTCGGCTTGAACCTGGTAGCTGCTGATACAGTTATACTTGTAGACTCTTGTAAGTTTATCTCACGGACGCTTTATCAAGTTCATTCTACTAACTGCGAAACAGGGTGGGCACCGGCTATCGAGGATCAAGCTATCGACCGTGTGCATCGGCTCGGCCAAACGCGCGAGACGACGGTCTGGAAGCTAGTCATGGAGGATAGCGTGGAGGAACGTGTTCTCAACATCCAAGCTAGAAAACGGGAGCTAGTCAATCTAGCTTTCCAAGACAAGGCCAGAGAACAAAAGGAAACAGGCCGCCTAGACGATGTTCGACAATTACTTTCGTAGGTGTGCTTTCAGTTTCATCTATGGTAGGATAAGTCAAGTGACTACATGGAACCGTAAATACGGTTGGCAATAGTGGCGGAATGGAAAATAGATGGACGAGTCAAATCTAGAGAATGCGCATTGCTGCGAAGCAGGATTGTTGTTTTGTCATTGTTTTGCTATTGTACTACAGGGGCTTTGGTCTAGCTCAGCTATACGATAGATTCAGATTGGAGCCTACCTAGATCTATAGCTGAATTCACTTCAATTCCCTCACATCATAAAACTTAGAGAGCTACTAGGCTGAGAAACCCGGAGTAAATCTCCGAATGTGAAGTCTTGAATAGTTAACGTTACATACCTAACAAAGGAGGTAGGAAAGTAAATACGATGACATATTAATAGCTTGCTTTTTCGCTAGCTAGCCTACCTAAGTAGGAGGCAGAATGGGCGGTGACTGGTAAGCCAACGTATGTACAGGCAAGTGATGTATGCACGATACCAAGGCAAATACGAGGTCGACTGCATATCACGAACCATAAGGTATACCTGTATCGATTCCATACCAATCCACTTAACAGCAGACGTCTTTACATATGTACAGAACAAGAAAGAAAAACAAGTCTTGCAGCGAAACTCGTAGCAAAGTTGCGAAGCAAGCTGACTCAGACGGATAAATTGGGATTTGCTCTTCCTATTTTCATCGGTCGTACAGATGAGGGGAGAATGTTGTCATGGTACATGTGTCCAATAATAAAGAGACCGCGTGGGTACGGGTAGAGGACGATGGTCGGATGCGAGGCGGCGTGTGTAGGTGGCGCGACGAGCTCTGCTCTGCTAACTTAGAAGCTGTAGATACCCGTGTGTGGAAGGGGAAATACTACATCGTACCTAACTGCGGGGAGCTAGCCATGTCTCTATCCATTGATTGCCTAAAGGGTAAGGGAGAGGTCTAATCCTACCGGGAGAAGCCGGGGGCATGGGTCAGGGTTACATCGACCGGAGTACGGGGTCGAGAGGGGCCCCTTCGAGAACATCGGGTCATCATCCTAGACGCCATGCCATGCCATGCCATGCCATGCTGTGTGTTCTTATGTAGTGTATGTATGAATGTATGTATGTATTTCTGCCCCTCTATACATACGATGTCGCATACATAGGGCTATTTGGGCAGGACTATGTAGGTGGTAAGGCTGACCTGACCTGACCTGACCTGACCTTACCCCTCGTCGAATATAACCCCGATGGTTAAAGCTTAGGTAGGTTGGGTTAGGTACTTACATACATAGTCTCGCAAATTGCAACATCATGTTGCCATCATGCCATGTTTCTATTTGTTTCTTTTCTCAGCTTGGGCCTGGATTTCGATTCGGCTGAGCAGATTTAACAAGAGAAATTAATATGATACTAGCTGCGTTACCCGTTCGCGCAAGCGCTTACGGAGTGCCTAGCTTCAAGAGTGCCTTTTACGCCACATATAAGTCTGGCCTTTCTGATTGGCTAGCCACACCTCAATGCACGTCCGATGAATTTTTTGTAGAATCAATTGACCTACTATAATATTGTATAAAAATTCTAATAATTGGTATCGTTGGATAGAGCTCGTTTTGCATGACCTTTCTATCCTATTTGCATGTGTTTTAGACCTTATGCGATAGAATGGCAAAGGAAAAAGTCGCCAACTGCGGGGCGATTCTAAGGATCTGATTGGCTGGAAAAATTGTGGCAGTACTAATAAAATATAGGAGAGTTGATAACTAACAGGTATGCTATAGGCTATTACTATAGTGTATTACATATGTAGTACTATGCCTCAGGACGATGCTGCCCTGTTATGTATGTAACTGGTCAATCTAAAGACCTAGAATATCTTTCACCACTGGCTGTTTTAAAGCTACGGCATCGACTGCCGAAGGAGCGCCATGTATGTACCTATGTAAGTTGGGCGATATGTACGGTAGATATCTGCGTGACCTCGTGATACCCCCGTACTCGTAACCCGTAACTCGTAATGATCGTGTTGAGAAGAATATCATTACATAACTACAAACTCATTATACATACATACCTTAGGCCGATAACCTACCTAGATGGAGTCTTTACGACCGCAGGATCCATCCCCGCACTACATATGTCAAGATTACATACATACGATAGAGCCCATAGCAATGTCTCTACGGTCGTATGGAAAAGAGAAAAAAAAAAAAAAAAAAAGAAATCAACCTGAATAAGGCGGACAAATAGAATCCGGCTGGGTGCCAAGGTTATGTAAGGGTAAGCCCAATTCATCGTGGCGTCTCGTTACATCTCGTGAGAAGTTTTCCAAGGGCTGTCTATATAAGAGTCGCCTCGTCGACCTCATGAAAAGATCTCATCCTCACCACGATCAACTTATACATACCTACATACATACCTACATAATCTACCTACTACAATATATAGATCTAATAATCTATAATCACTAATTAATCAACCAACCAACCAATCACCATGTACGCCATCACCGCCATCGTCTCCGTCCTAGCTCTCGCCGCAAACCAAGTCCTCGCCTTTCCCACCGAGCTGTTTCCCCGCCAGGGTTACGTCGCGAACTGTACGTGATATCTATTTATTCCTCCGTCTCTAAACCTTGCTTCTACTTTCCATGTTTATAAGACTCGAGTCGGCAACTAATATATCTCTCATCAGGCAACACGACCTACTCCGTTGTATCTGGTGATACTTGCAACGGTATCATCAGCAAGTTCAACAATACCTTCACTCTAGACCAATTGTAAGCCCTTTCGTCCCCCCTATTCCCCCTTCCTCTCCTCCAACCAACCACCCACTAACCGCCCCACCCAGCTACTCCATGAACCCCCAAGTCGCCAAAGACTGCTCAAACCTGTACCCCGGGGAACTAGTCTGCACCGCCCTCGACGAATCCACCGGACCCGTGTGCCCAGCTCCCACACCCGCCGGCATCGTCGCCAACTGCAACGCGTGCTACCACGTCGTCGAGAGCGACAGCTGCTGGACCATCACCCAGGCCGAGAACATCTCCTTGGACAACTTCCGCAAGTGGAACCCTAGCATCGACGCCTCGTGCTCCAACCTCCAGCTCGGCTACAACTACTGCATTGGCGTCAGTGCTTGAAGCTAAGTAACGGAGAGGGCAGAGCATAGCTGTGGCTTCGAGAGGAAGTAGAGTTATGAGTTGCGAGAAAAGAGCTTAGGAATGAGTGAATGGCTTTTACGACAATTTTATGAATACTAGTTTAGTTTAACAGTCTTTAATTTCAATAATTCTTACTTTGGGCCTAATATTATAAGAGCTTCTCTCTCAACTTCGCACAAACCCGTCACATTAGAGACAGTGCAATAATAGTTCCGCTCATTTGGTAATGATATTTGTAGCTATCACCCTAGTTCAGTTGTGATATGAATACTACGCTAGCTATCTGTAAAGACCGTGATGTCAGAACATAGAGTAAAAGGTCCACGCTCGTCTCGCAAGTTGAGTTAAATAGGGGCTGTAACTACGGTTATAACCGTAAACCCAAAGATCTGAAGTAGAATCGTCTCGTAATACATGAGAGTATTACCAAAGGCCAGGCAAGCCCAGGCCTAAGAAAGTAAATGGGGGATTCAGAGTTGGAAAACAATCAAGTCCGTCCCCAAGTATCATCCACACCTTCATGCAGATCCTCTAAATTCTGGCCCAGCGTAGACTGACCGCAACCACGATAACGGGCAGCACGCTAACCAACTCGCCGAGTCCGGCGAACTCGGGCGGGATACGCGCGTTCTCGCCAGCATTTACGAACGCTCCGGCCGCGAGCAAGATCGCGAACACATTGTACACGAAGCTCCAGCCGAAGTTGAAGGCGACGCGGCGCACGGCAGCTCGCGACACGTCTATCATGGCGAGCACGCCACCGAGCGAGGGCCGCATCAGCACGACGTCAGCTGCCGACTGCGCCACATCCGTGCCCGAGTTGACATGCACGCCGATCGTAGCCTGTGCTAGAGCCACGGCGTCGTTTGTCCCGTCTCCCACAAATACGACCACTGGCTGCCCCTTATTGTCTGCCACTTCCTGGTTTCCAAGAAGCTTTTGGATGTACGCTCGCTTGTCAGCTGGGGAGCATCGAGATAGAGCGTTCTCTACGGGAATTCCTAGCGAAGAAGCTACGGCTTGGACAGCGCCGTCGTCATCACCACTTAGCATCGACACGGTTATGTTTCGTTTCTGTAGCTCTGCAATAATTAGTGCTGCATCCTGTCGGATAGTATCGGCCAACCCAAAAACAGCCTGCAGTTCCGACTCGATGGTTATGCAGAAGGCAGTGTAACCTTTTGATAGTACAGCTTGCACGCGGGGGTCAGACCCAGTACCGAGCCAGCGGGAGTTGCCAGCCTGGATGGAAAGTCCGTCGATATAACCTTGTACCCCTTTACCAGGGAGGGACTTAACCTCATCGACCTTGGCAGCAATGACCTCCTGGCTTTTCAGGTGAGTTGTGATGGCGGACGAGACCGGGTGGTTAACGTCTGCCAACAAACCCAAGATCTTCGAGGTAACGGCATGTTGCGCTCCTAGCAGATACTCTTCGCTTACAACAGACAGCTTTCCTTCAGTCAACGTGCCAGTCTTGTCGAAAACGACATGTGAAGCTTTGTAAGCAATTTCTATAGTCTCGCTTGCTTTGAAAACCAGTCCCCTCTCTGCGGCAACACCACACGCGATTACAATGACCATAGGAACTGCTAGGCCAATAGCACATGGGCATGAGACTATAAGCACTGTGATGGCGTATGTTATCGCCTGTGTCACAGCCTCGCTTCCCGACTTTCCTTGGTTGCGAATTCCCACGCCAACCCAAGCAATAAATGTAATTAAAGTCAAGGAAATAACTGCGGGGACAAAGTATGAAGCGATCCGGTCAGCGAGGTCCTGAATCTTGGGTTTTGAGAGCTTGGCATCATCGACCATTGCTGCAATGGTGCTGATGGTATTCTGCCCTGGTAATTTCGTAAGGCGTACAGTAACGGTTCCATTGCCATTCAGTGATCCAGCAAGAATCATCGACCCCGGCTTCTTCTCAATGAGGCGTGATTCACCTGTCAGCATTGATTCATCTACTTCCGTTGTACCAGAGATAATGACACCGTCCGTAGGCGCCTGAGTATGAGGAACGACCTTGAATACGTCGCCATACTGAAGCAGTCTAGTGTCAATGTCGATTTCGGCACCCCCATCTGAAATTAGAATTGCAGTAGAAGCTTGTAAAGATCGAATGGAGATGCTCTCGACGGCTTTCTGACGAGCAAGGGCGCTGACCCACCGCCCTACCATAATCAGGGTGACCAACAAGGTACTCGTTTCAAAGAAGTTACCCGTCGACAACGGTTGACCGCTAACTAGATAGCCGAATGAAACGACCGAAAATATGTATGCCGCAGTGGTACTCAAGACTATCAGCAGATCCATTTCAACTACTTTGGAAAACACTAAACTCTTTAGAGCCTTCGGGTAGAATGGACCTGCGATGAAGATCTGAACAATAGTCGCTAGGGCTAGGGAAACACTGCCATATGTAATCGGACGCTCTTCTAACGGGGCCCATGCTAGTACCAATACAGGTATAGTAAGAAGTGCCGAAGCCAAGGTCGTCCAGCCCATATGTCGAACATGCTTGCTTCCCGCAGCAATTGATGGGTCAGCCTGCGGAGGGGCGAGAGTAACAGGAGTCTGAAATCCTTGATTAATCAAGTCTCGAGCCCCAATGGCCTCTGGCTCGAATGTAATACGAACGGTCCGTTCATCGACGAGATCTACGTTTTCTACCCCTAGAGGCATGGTCTGCTGGATAAATTGTTTGGCACCTCCGACAGGAATAATGTCCAGTGTCGAACCGTGGGTCGCCATTCTCTCGCACTTGAACTCGGTCGTTCTCTCGATATGCTTGACAATATCCTCTGGCGTGGCTAAACTGAAGTCTAGTTGAAATTCAGCCCTGGCCATAACGAGGCTCGTCTTGAGATTCTTCACAGCATCGACTCTGCCCAATGTTTGCTGTAGTTTAGTCTCGCAGCCCGTACATGTCATTCCGGTGATATTGAGAACGATACGCTCGGAACCGGAGAGCCCTTTCTCAAGGTCAGTGGCCACAGCATCTCGGCTCCCGTTCGTACTTAGAGTATGTTCGATAATGATATTTTTATCTCGCTGACAGCAACTTCCTTTAGGACTTGGACTTTTAGAGCAGCAGCTAGATTCTTTAGCAGGTTCAGTTGTGGAAGAATTCTTTGCTCCCTTGCAGCAACCCTTGTTACAAGATGTACCGCCTCGAATTTTCGAGGTTGAGGGTTTACGCACTGGGGACTTCGAACAACAATTTCCTACTGCTTTTGGCTTGCAGGTTGAGGCTTGTTTCTCCTGGGACTTGGGACGAGCGGTTCTCTTAGGCCCGCGCTTCCTTTCCTCCGAGGAAACGTCACGAGCCATACAACATGACTCTTGACCCAGGGCGATGAGCGCTCTGCACAAACACCCGAGGGCCGCAAGTCTGATTTCGTATTTCTCGCGAATTGACTCCTCTTTAGCAGAGGACGGGCTGCGGCTAGAGCTTGAAGCTGCACCATCACCTAAATTTGGGTCAAAATGTATTGCTCAGGAGGATGGTTGGCTACACTGACCTTGCCCCCTTTCGATGGCAGTCTCTCGGATTACGAGTCGGTCGATACATGTTGCTTAGCATCATTAGCCCATTCTTCTTGCTAATCTGACCTGATGCAATTCTAGAAGAACTTACTATCGCAGCATGGCTTCTGCCTGCCTTCACAGCAAGACGGCTCAACCGTGTCGGGCTTCGAACAGCAGGCGTCTTTGCAGGTATCCTGTGGAAGATCGTCTGGTGGTCCACTACAAGTATTATCGACTTCTTCCTCGGCATCGCAGCAGGAATCCTGACAGCATTCATCGGTGACGGCTTTTGCAGGTTTGCAGCAACTGTCCTCGATGCCTTGGTCGGCTTTAGAAGCGCAGCAGCTAGTTGAGCTCGCGGGGGCCGTATCTGCTGCTTTGGGTACACAGCAGTCATCAACCTTTTCCTTGGGCTTGCAACAGGCATCTCGGCAACCATCGAGGGAATTTGGCTTTTCAGGCTTGCAGCAATCGTCGTCGGGCTCAGAAGCACCGTTGGGAGTTTCACAGGCGACGGCGCTGCAGTCCTTGCTCTTTGGAGCCTGCGGCTTACAGCAATCATCCACTTCTTCAGCTTCCACGTTCTTGACGCCACCGCAGCACCCCGAACTACAACCAACGTCCTTCACCTTCGGAGGAGGAGGAAGAGGAGGAGCGCTACAACAACCAGTCGTGCAATCTTTCTTCTTTGGTTCGCTCATTCTGCTCGTCTTCCCATTGACAACTTTAGGTACCTAGGTAATGGAAATATTTGGAAGATATGCTCAATTGACGTTATATGTTGTATGTGCTTTATTGGCGGTGAGACAAGGATGAAACAGAAAGGAAAAAGGAAAACTTATTCTTAAGATAACTAACAGGTAAGATAACTAACAGGTATGTACGGAATACAAACATCCGATTGTCGCTTGCATGCTTCGGTAGTAGCGAGGGGTAGCGGAGCACGGGTGTACCGCCGGCAAGCTCTGACCTTCTTCCTCTTGCCGGAAAGCGGGCAACTTTATTGTTGATTGCTACGGCGGAAAGAGGTATGCATCAGTTTGCTTGGTATAGCACCTACCTGTAGGCTATAGTAGGGAGTTACATGTAGTTTAGGGGTTACTGGCAGCACTATCCTCCGAAATCGGCTGTTTTCAGCTGCCAATTGAATTGGCAACTGCGAACACTTTAGTCACTTATACCATGTCATTTGTTTACAGCTGAGCAGTCAATTCACTTGCTCGACTCGCGAATTTCACACAATGAGATTTAGTTCATGTGAATATGACGTTGATATATGAGCACTGAAATGAGACTCATTTGAAATATTAACTTTAAATGAAAACTAAGTATATGCTTATTCACATGAGCTTAAATCAACTCTTAAATAAATATACTTTCACTCATCGCGAGAAGCCAAGTTTCGCATTTCACACCAAATTTTGTTATCATTGACTTGTAAACATCGTCAACTTTCGCTACAACATGCTTCAATAAATCTAAGTAAAACATGACTTATCCACAGACTAAAATAGAAACCCTTAAACTTACCAAATTCAAGTTTATTTACCGTTTCGATTCATATTTCAAACGGTAAAAACACGAAGCATCCCGATCGAAGTATCCTCAAGTACTCCTCACAACAACGAACGTAGTTTACTTGAAGAAAGGCGGCGTCGCCGTTTCAATAG